TCAGGTAATCCAGGTAATAGTATTTTTTCAGATATTGTAAATTGATAGACCAATCACAACAGACTGGGAAATTGCAGATTGGCAAATCAAAGCAAAGCAGGATCTTGGAAATAGGGTTTAGAACAGGGGTGCCCAAACATTTTCTTATGAAGGGCCAAAAACCAAATATCATTGATAGCTGTGGGCCAAGGGTAAACTTACCAATATAAAGTTGCTATGGGTGATTTCCTTTATTAATTTCCTTATATTTCAAAATAAATAGAAAACTAAACTATTTAATTGTATTATCTAATTCGGTGTAACTTTTAAAATGATAACTTATTGCGAGTGAAAACATAAACAATCATATTTATAACAAATTTATAACAACAAACAGAGGAGTTCTGTTTGGCTGGTTTTAGCTGTTTGACCAACCTGGTTTTAGATGGATTTTGGCCATTTCCAGGCTGGTTTCTTAGCTGGTCAGGCTGAAAAATGACCAGCTAAATCCAGCTAAAACCAGCTTGACCAGCCTGGTTTAAGCTGGACATAGCTGGTATTGGCTGGGCTCCCTGCCTGACTAGGCTGGTCAATCTGGTTTTAACTGGTCATTTCCCAGCCTGACCAGCTAAGACCAGGCTGGAAATGGCTGGAAACCAGCCTGGAAATGGCCAAAGCCCCTCTAAAACCAGCCTGGTCGACCAGCTAAAAACCAGCCTAGGCTGGTTTAAGCTGTTTTTTTCAGTAGGGGTACTATGGGTAAATTGAACGGATGCATTACTGTTGTATAAAAAAAAAAACTTTGAGAAAAAAGTTAGATTTAGAAACCCCTAAAGCTTTAAATACCTCTGACATTTAAAGGAACGCATTGTTTATATAAGCTATAGGCACATTTAACTTGCTCAGCAATTTCACTTCAGCCTGCTTCACCACCGTCCTTTACACTGGATTCAAGCTAATCTTTAAAGTACGCTATGCATTAGCCTTACTAACTATTCAGACTACCTTAGTGTTAGATGATGAGCCAGGAGACAGAGCACATTCTACACTTAGCAAATTATTTAGTTATATTTAAAAACCTAGGTATTTGGCAACATTTAATATCTTTGATAAAGAGACTCAAATAATAAAAGGCACAAATTTGTCCTCTTAATTAAAGATAAAAAGAGGACTGCAAGAGCTAGAGAGTTAGACGTGATGTACACGTAAATGAATTTGCCAATTGCTACATAGTTCAGACTCAGAGGTAAATTTTCAGTTGTTTTTATTGGTTTGTATGCCTATTATTATAGATTCGTTAGAAACACTTTAAGTAAACGGTATACAAAAATGGAAAACATGCTGTTAATTTTCAGCCAAGACATTATTTACCTCATGATAAATCGTTTTGCGAAATTGTTACCTGGCGCGGGAGGGGGGTGGTAAGGTAACTTCTAGTAAGGTTATAAACGCTCTTATATAAAAAGAAGACATAAACCATATTAACTATTACTTATTCAGCACTAGAGCGCATTTTGTCGGCCAGGCAGACACATTAAACTTCTCAACAGCTCTCGTGTAATAGTATTGAGCACATAACCTGTATTGAGGTCATACAAGTTGCAAACGCATAGATAAGCATAAAACAGTGCCACCATGTGGATAATTAAATAATAGCAGAAAGAAACATGTAAACAAGACCTTACAGCCAGTGAGCTTTAGGCTTTTAATGAACAAATACGCAGAAAAACAAGTTGTAATCAACAGAAAAGCAATTCTGAAAATATTTTATATGAATTTGCCACCTGCCGTAAATTATAAGGTAAACTTATAATACAAATTGTTGTTGTTTTATGTCTACATTAAATATGTAAGGTACAATTCTTTGAAATGTTAAAAACAAAAGTTTGGACTCATTATAGAATACTTGTCAGCTCCAATCAAGGGTCTTTTCATTAAATAGCTTCAGACATCTTAGGTATTTACCCAATGAGAACGAAAAGTTCCTTTCCACGCTAAGCTAATTTGGTTGGACAAATACAGAGTTTGTATGCGTCACAGTAAGCACCACATGAGGTTTTCAGGCATCTAAAGATGGTTTCCAAAACCACAAGCTCATTGGCTGCAAAGGCATTCAAGCTGTTAGAGGAACATGTAGGCATTAAAAGGCTTTTAACCAGACATAAACTCATTTGAGAGCCTGAGATAGGGCCTGTTTGGGCATTTTTCACAGATAATTATAGCAGGCTATGTATGGGAGGGATGATTTTTAGAGTTGAGCATTGAGAAAAAACATTATATGGACATACAATTCAAAAAGAGATACACCAAAAAGACTGAAAATCTCATGTATGCAATATATACATATAGGTTAGTAAAACACTGTAAACAAACTCTAATCAAGGGACATATAACCAAAAAAATGCTAATTTTATTTACTCACCCTCAGATAATCCATGATGTAGGTGATATTTTTTCTTCAGTAGAAATTGAAGCAGCATTTGTTTAAGCTGATTCAAGTCAGTGCCTACAAGCAATTTAAGAGTCCAATAAATGCACACACACACAATAAAAAATTAATAACTGTTGCTCCCGATACTACATTGAGGTATTATAAAGAGAAAAAGGATCAGTCTATGCAAAAAAATTAACATTATTTACAACATTATTACCTTTAATCTACAGCTTTGTCATGCAATCCTGAGCGCATCTGGAACTGGAGCTTCCTGTCATTCTGTACATTAGCAATAATACATTTCATCACTTAAAAAACACATTGCATGCTAACAAAAGAAACTCATGAAAGCATTGCATTGTCAAACAAAATTAAGAAAAATTATTCATAATGTAAAAATTTATGTTGTTGATTCCATTTAGTTAGTTTTACAAACTAAAGTTGCTACCGACTGTATATATTGACAAGTTGTTGCCCTCCGATGTAAATATTATAAACAGGTTAAAAATAAAGCAGTAGTGTCATTTCATAAATCTTAACATTGCAAAGATCTTCATAATATTAAAAACATTATTTAGTTTGACAACAGAAAGATCTATTCAAGTCATTGTGTGTGATATGGTCGGTTAAAAAGGGGGATAATGCTTCCCGGATGGGTTTGGAGTGATGATTTGCATGGCAAATGTTATGCTGCTCACAGGCAGAAGACTATAATAATTCAGCAGTGGGCATGTAGTCTGACTACAGCAGATACTTCATGTGATGAATTAAACATTGTAAGATCAAACATTTAAGGCATCCAATAAGACAATCTGGTTTCCATATTTAGTAAATCTGACTGTTAAATACATCACACAAATAAGCAATTTTGAATCTTTTATTTTAAATCAAAGAACAAATGAAACACTGAAGGAATTAGAAAAAATATGATCAAAACTATATTTGCATATATTCCTTGCAATAATCTCTATCGCTCATATACACCTTTCCCCCCGCTTTAGATGACAACACAGTTCAAATACACCGCTGAATGGCCAGCATAAACATTTGAGCCGTTTGTCTGTAAATTTGGTCCGTATTAATAATAATAATAACCCTTTTTATTTAATAATCTCTACCAACAAAGAATACAAGTGAGCAGCACAGACCTCACTGTCTTGCTATACTTTTGCACAATCCCTACATTGAGTTGTGTTAGCCGGAAGAGCTTAATTAATGAGATAGTTCATCCAAAAATGAATATATACTCTCTATTTACTCACCCTCAAGTGTGTCCATTCCATACCTTAATGAGTTTCCTTTTTGAGTTGAGCACAAAACAATATAATTTGAAAAATGTTAGAAACCATTGACTTCCATAGAAGGAAAAACAAATACTATGGAAGTCAATTGGTTTCAAAAATGTTTCAAACTAACTCCTTTTGTGTTCTACAGAAAAAAAGAAACTTGAACAGGTTTGTGACAAGGGAACGGTGAGCAAATGAAGTTTCAGTTTTGGGTGAACTATCCCTTTAAATGTGACAACTTATGCCAAACAGAAGTGTGGAGCACCAATTGTCCCGAGTTCAGCCAGACTGTCTGCTTTTAATCCAATCATTCACTGTGTCTAGATTAATCTCTATCATCTCATAGCCTAGATGAACACCAAGAGAACTTTGAAAAAAACAAAAACAAACCAACCTGATATTTCAGACAAGATATTTAAATGGCGAAGTGCTTGTTTATTAATACAAACATGTAATAATAATTTACCCTACACCCTTGTGCAAGCATTGTTTCCACATACTTCACATCAAGCCACAACAATGTATGAACCCACCAAGCAATTTCGTGTTTACAAAACATCTAATAGACGTCTTGGCTAAAACAAGACTAAATTTGGGCTGTCAGTGAAAATCTAAAAGACAGCTAACATTGTTGTTGCGAGACGTCAATTCATTTTCACTGATAGTTCAAATTTAGCTTTGTTTTAGCCAAGAAATCTATTTAGATGTCTTTTAAACGCACAAAAATGCTTGCTAGGAAATATCAGAAATGTTAAGACCTCTTAAAAGCCCATTTAAGCTTTAGATGGATAAAAGCATAAAGCTTGATTGCCTAAACAAATTCAGCATAGGCCGATACATACTGTATACCAGATAATCCTTGTTAGAAACAGATAGTTTACGTATAAACCCAGATATTTTACATTTCCATTTATATGAATATTAAATGAAGATCTTTGGGATAGGGAAATAATTACACACAATAAATGTTGCTGCAACTGTTCACATCAATCACATAATATGTGAATGCAAGCTAAATAAGGGATGAACAGATTGCATAGATTTCAGGGTTTTGTATGAGTGATTATCAAGCATGTACAGAAAGCTGAAAGCCATCATCATGAGTGTTTTCTTTGCTTTTCATCAGAATTGTTAGTGTTCTGGTGCAAGGAGGGAAAGTGCCTTTTAGCAATCCATATCATAGCAATCCATCCTCTTTTCATTTCCTTTTTTAAAGGGATAGTTTACCTAAATATTACAGTTCTGTCATTTATCCCCTTCATGTTCCAAACCTATACTCTTGTACAACACAAGAGAAGATGTTTTTAGCAATTTTAAAAACAAATTTTAATAGATTTCATTACAAGTCAGTGGGTTTTAACTTTCCCTGCAAGGACACTGGACATTAAATAAATGAAGATGTTTTTTCTAAATATATATTTAGGAGTTCTGCAAAATATGACTTAACATGTTTAGAACAACATTAGAGTGAGAGAACAGACGTCATTTGGGTAAACTATCCCTAAGCGCAATTCAACATTACATACGATAACAGGTAAAGACACCAGAACAACTTGAAATGAAACAAAACGGAACAAGTATGTGCTGTGTTCACTAGAAATAAGAGCACCACCAATAACAAAACACAGTGACCCACCTAACAAAAGTTCTTAAATACTAAAGTAAAAATGATGACAGAATGTCACAAGCCAATGTGCATCATCATTAAAGCTTCATGAAGTAATCAAAACGATTAGCCTTGGGCCAATTTCATAACTACAGATCTAAATAGCATTTTCAACTGAAACACCACTGATAGTGTGATTTAGTCAATATCTAGACTTAACCAGTGTCTGGATATCCATCTCTAAGAATTAGAAAATGAAGACAAAAGCTTGAGGCACTATAACCCACCAAAAAAAAAAAAAAAAAAAAAAAAAAAAACATTGAGCAACACATCCAGAATTTGCATACACACAGAAAGTGCAGTTGTAAAGGTTACGATTGGTGTCTAAGTGCATAGATTGGTTCTCACATTTACAGTATGGCTTATTTTAAAGATTCAAGGGTAGCAGAGAGAGGCCTCTCATTGTCTCTTGGTGTGCTTGGAGTTGTAGTGGCTCCGCATGTCTTTACGGAGGCGAAACTTCTCTCCGCAAACGCCGCAGATGTACAGATGAACATCCATGTGCTTCTCCAGATGTTCACCGCTGGGGAAAATCTGGAAACACACCTGGCAGATAGTCTCTCCGGCAGACAGGTGAGAGATCATGTGTCGAACATGATCATGTTTGAGGAACGTACCCTGATCACACACAGGACAGACATATCGCGCCATTCCCTTGTGCATGTCAGTGTGCAGCCGAAGCTGTCGTTCACGCAGAAACTGTTTCCCGCAGGTCTGACAGGTAAACTGCTTTTCCTTGGTGTGCACAGTGTAGTGCTCCCGCAAGTGACACCTTTGGTAAAAGCCCTTGCCACAGATTGCACAGAAATGCTTGCGCCGATGGTCTGGCTCACCACCATCTTCCAACATGACGGGTCGGAAGGGCTCCTGTTCCGGGCAAGCCAACGTGTGCTCCACTGCAAGACTTTCGCTTTCAAATATCAAACCACAGAGTGGACAACGAAAGCCCAGGTCAGCACCTTCCAGCAAGTTTTCTTCCATAGCTTCGGCATCTTCAAGTAGAAGCGAATCTTCACCTGGGGAGTCCATCTCGGTACCTTGGGGTTCACCACAGCGCTCTGCATGCTCCTGCAGCTGTCTGCCTTTAATGAGCACTTGGCCACACCTTCCACAGGCACAGATATGTCCCATGTGGTTGGAGATGTAATGAGCAGACTGTTCCTCCTCCGTCAACAGGGCTCCGCATAACTCGCATGGTATGCATGTGCCATCTTGCTTTTCCTCTTTGATTCGATGTACCTTTAGATCGGTGTCCAACTCTGTGCTTTTGCCCTCCAGAGCATCCATGGCAGACACTCCAGGATCTTCCTCACTGTCAAACTTAATCTGATCTGCAAGATTGTCTTTGAATGCCCTGGTACGAACTTTGCAGCTGCCTAAGTTAAGGTTCCCAACCTTTACAACCTTTATAGTTTCCAAATCAGTCTCGGAATCATCGTCCCGTTCCACTTTAATGGTTATATTCCTAGAGAAGGCATTTTCACTTTCCATGCCAGAGGCTACAGACCTGATCACCGTCTCCATGTCCGGCTTGTGGTCCGACCACTCATCTTCCCCCTTGCAAAGTGTTCTCTGTTCATCTGTACCCTCTGAAGTCGAACTCTCGGCTTTGCCATTGTCACTGTAAACCTCTTTGCTGACTTTGGGTGTTTGGAAAGCTTTGCGATTGGTACATGTGAGGATGTGTTCAATGAGTAGCTTTTCACAGCTGAAGACAAAGCCACAGTCATCGCACGTGTATGTGCGACCAAATCGAGGACGTTCTTTCATGGCAGAGCTTCGACCTGATGTTCTCTTTCTCAAGTCACATGGTTGGTCAACAACGGTCTCTGAGTGTGGTGGAGGGTGTGGTATGACCACATCTTCAGCAGGCCTGACAGTTGAGATGTTAATGGTCTGACGAGCAGTTGTGGTTGGGGCTTTCGTTGCACGTTCATTCTCAGAAGGGCTCGGCCGTTGCTGCTCAAACATTCTAACGCCAAACATCATCTTGCCTCCGACCACACTGGATGAGGACGAGGAGCTGGATGATGAAGAGGACGATGCAGAGGATGAGGGAGTGAGATTAGATGTTCGGATGTCTCTTAGGTCCTCGAGTGAGTCTGGGATGTAGTACATTTGTAGGTAGGCCATAGATGCTTTCAGTTCCTCAAATTCATAGTGATCCACAGCAATTCGGCCAAGGTACATGAGCTGCAGGATGAGATCAAAACATTCTGCGCTGATCTGCATGTTGCTAAGATCAAACCGGGCAGAACCTTGTTGATCCCTGATGAACATCATTCTGAAGTAAGAACTGCAGGCAGCCAACACGGCCTTGTGAGCCCTGAAATAAATGTCACCTATGGCAATGCAGCAGTCACAGAGGAAACCCCACTCCCTTTGATTGTTGAGCTGCTGCAGGACATGCTCACTGTGGCTTGGCCTTGCCATTACCCTGTAAAGAATCATAAAAAAAAAACTTAGTACGTCAGCATGGCCCAAGTCTGAAAAATCCTTTTCACAGACAACCATTGGCAATGTCTAGCATGATAACCTACTGGTTAGCAAAATAAATGGTTCAGTACATGGATTGCAACGTTCTGAAGATTTTTAAAAAGTGTTTAAACCAGTTTTTAACTTGACATGCTGTTTAAAAAACATAATACGCTTATTTCACGCGGCCGCCATTTTAAAACACGAAAGCGAGGCTGCGGTGGGAAGAAACTCGGAAGTATAGGATCAGCACTGTAAACATTGCAGCAACATGCTGTACTAACTATACTACAAACCCCAGCTGTTGCCACGACTTCAAAATGCAGATATGGTGTAAACATCACCTTAATATCATTCAGTTCAGTTTAATTTAAACAATTAAAAGCATAATAGGCATCAAACAACATTACAATCCCTTTCAGAGTAATATGTCCAAGTGTCCTCCTAGGTTTCAGGTCATGGCAGCAGGTAAACACTGTGTCGACGCTTCCCTGCTTCAGTCTATGTAACCCGGTATGAGATAAAACAATGCAGTCCTCTGTAGCACACCCTCGTGTTGTCTGTAATAGTGTTGTCCGGGTACTAAAGTTTTAAAAACGTCCAATTCCCACTAACATTTAAGCGCCGCTGAGCACGCTCAAAAATGCCGCTGATATGCCACAGTATTCACCGGTGCTCAACAGAAATGACTGTGATTGGCCGTAAAGGTCATTAGCTCACCGTTCTTCACCGAGTGCAAACACAGATACACAAACCTTGGAGTGTTTAAAGACGTGAAGATCAGTCAATTCATCAGCAGATCGCTTGTCTGTGTTTGTACTCAGTAAACATCGGTGAAGTTTGGTGAAGTGATGATCTTCACGGCTAATCACAGTAATTTCTGGTGAGCATGTGAACAAAATGGCAAATCAGCGCTGTTTAAGAACGCCATCAACAGTGCTTAAATGTTAATGGGGAATGAAGGGTTTTTTAATTTTAGTACCGAAATTAAGTATCGTGACATGTCTAATATAGTGAATGAATCAGTTCATTAACTTGAGTTTGATGAATGGCATCTAAAACGTGTGTTTGGGAATAAAAACATTAGCTGACTAGTGCCATTTCCCGTAACTTAGCTGAAAATGAGGTCCAATATGCCTTTTTATTTTCACTATTCATTTAGAACGGACCTTTGAGTCACTCGGAAGGCGGTGAAAGTATAAATTTGTGTCGATTTCTCTTCGCTAATAAGATAAACAGCCAGGTACACAACATTCTTGTGTGACTAAGGCAATACTTCCCGGTTTCTTCCCATCGCAGTCTCGATTTCACTGTTAAAATGGCGGCCATGTGAAATCAGTCCATACACAGCCAAATATGCACCTAACTTAAAAATTAAATAAACTAAATAAACAAAACAAAAACCTACTCTTATAAGATGGTCCTATAATGTGTCTTTTGTAATATATAAAGAACAGCACACTAATTCAAGTATAGTCAAAAAAATATCTACATTAAATTAATAAACTATCATTCAAAAGTAATGCTCAATTAGGCTGAATTTATGTGATCAAAATAAAACAAAACAAAAAAAAAAAACTATGAACTTTTACTTCTATTTAAAATGAATATGTTCTATTGTAATTTTGTTAGCATTTGAATACTTTGGCCAGATGTCAAAGGCATTACTCCAGTTTGCAGTGTCACATGAGACATCAGAAATTATTATTAAGTGCTAATTGGCATTATCAGAATTGCAAGCATTCTTTGGTGAATAGAATTCACAATAACATCATTTATTTGATATGAATTTTTGTAACTATAAATCCTAACTGTCATTTTGATAAACATAATATAATGAAAAAATGAAACAGTGTATTATAGCTATAATAAAATCTATATACAAATAATTAAACACAATAATTAACTAGAAATATAATCAGTACTAAACAACTTGTCTACTTTTTAAACAACAAAAGAAAACTATTTTTCATAAATCATGTATGCACTGCACTGTAACAGCCCAGGTAAGACTGACTACAGGGTAAAACTTGGATTAATAAATTCTGTTTCATAATTAATTCATTTATAAATAATGGAATAATAATGTAAGAATGATGGATAGCTTATAAAGTAGGATTATTCCCTATGTAAACTTCTTCAGTAAAACAACAAATATATTCTAAAAAATATATACGAATGGTTAAAAACTATACACAAATTAGATGACAGAAAAAGATCGGAACCTTATTCAAATTAATAAATGGAATAAAAGAGTTGGTTTAAACCGTGCTGGTTTACATCGTTAGAATCCACCATAAAGCCAAACCGAGAGGTTTACATCCCGCCCCCGCGTTCTCATTGGCCTATTTTAGAGACCGAATCATGCGGGCGTTGTGGCTGTCAATCATACCGCACTTAAAAGTAAAATCTAACTACTTGGACAACACACCAAAGATCAGACCAAACGACTACCTGTAGTGAAAACATAAAGTTTCAAAATGTTGCGTTACTTCAGAGAAAGCAGAGCAGAGTCTATCTGACCATTGTCGTAGGGAGATCTCTCACGCAAGCATGCAGTGCCACCCCCGCGCAGCTTCCCGCACATACGCTATGAGCTTCGCATTACTGCAGCTCTTGTTTACACGCAAAACACACTGAAAATACTCACCCACGGTAATGGGCGCTAACTTGAAGCGAACGGCAGAATTCGAGTAAAAACACAGAGCGAAGAAGTTCCACCTCTTTTGCCTTCGTCCAAGCGAAAACTTGGGACGAGAATAGCTAATCTCGAGGGCGAAGCCCCTTCTGTGCAGCGCGGATGAAAGAACTTCCGCACAGCCGCTCTGCGAGCTCTATCACCGCACTGAGATCCGGCCCCGCTCACGCAAATCCAGCCCGCCCCAGCAGCACGCGCAGCACAGTGAAAATGCAACCAAACCATCTGTGAAAAATATGCTCTTCTAGGCGAACATTCGGGTTGAAAACTATAAAGAAGCATTTGTGTAATATCATTAAGGCTATTTACAGTTTACCATATAAAAAACTATTTAATCTGGTATTAGAGCATTTAATGCTAATATAGAAAATATAATTCAAATTAAAAATTAAAAGTCTTTGCCCAGCTGTCATCACCAACCTGCCTTAGAAAACGGGTTTTCAACATCAAAAAATCTATTCGTATAAAACTGCAAAAGAAATTTAATTACAATTCTCAAATAATTTAAATGTATAAATAAATACTTAACAATTATATATATATATATAGACACTTCATCATATCTGTTAGGATATGTGAAAAATGTTTTAATCAACATAAATGTTTTTTTTGCAATTATTAATGTCGTTAAACTTGTCTCTAAGTATGGTTAATACCATTTTGAGGAAACCTTATAATGACGTGAATTTGCATATTGATTTTAAACTTATCTAAAACTGTTTGTGTGCCCCTCAGGTCTGTAAGACCCTTTACAAAACACTGCCGGCTTGCTCTTTCGTCCATGCAAGTCGTCAAAGGTTTTATACTTCACGCTTTTAGTTCAGCGAGACAATAGCCAAGGCTAAAGCAGCTATACGGAGCTCCAATTAGACAGAAATTAACAAAAAACGAGCACATAAATACAAGCCGGGCGCCTGCTTTGTATGTTTTCACTATGCGTTCGTCTGGATCAGCTAATGTACAGTACGGTCACGTGACGGATAACAAGCTAAGCCGTCAATCGCATAGGAAGAAGCGCGAGACCATAAGAGAATTTTCCTGCTGCAACAAACACGAAATTATTCCCCCTTTCTCTCGTGTAGTTGGTAAGAATGCATTTTATTGGGACCGTGTGAATGCATTGTGTCTGTGCTTTGGTTCATGCATGTTTTGTTGGCCAAGGTGCATGAAAACGTACACCGTCTCTTCGACAACACTTGATCGGTGTAGACCAGACGTGTGAAAATTATTATGGTTCTGTCGCGGACTGATCTGCTGGTAATCAGAACAAAAATATCAGAGAAACACGAGCTTAGTAGCTTCTACACGGTGTGGGGGTATTATCCATTCATTCAGTCATGACATTTTTCTATGCGACGAACAATTGCTGTTTGTAAATGTCCTTTTTGTGTAATGATTTTAAGAGCCCCTGACAGGTATTGTCAGATCCCGGTTTGCCTGCAAAGGTAAACCGCAAACATTAAACGCAATCCAGTCGTTGCATATTAAGTAAAGTGTAATCGATAGAATGAACCATTCTTCTGCACAATGCTACACACATTTAGGAGAACGTACCGCTTCAGAATACTTCTTTGCAAATCACCGGATAGCATGTATAAGTAACGCGAGAATGTAAGTACAGATGCGTTTCACTATTTAAAATGGGCAATTCTAGCCAGATGTAAACATCTGGTTCGTCTCAGAAATGGTCAAAATGTTATGGCTATTTTGATCGATAGAGGTCGCCAGTCACTAAGTCAGGCTCTGAGAGACTCAATCGGTTGATTCTAGCATATCAAGTAGGCTACTTAGGAAAATATGGATCTCCACAAAAAAAAAACAAAAACATTTTAAATATTAAAATCAATTACAATTAAAACTTGATAAATAATCTAATAATATATTTCATGAAATATTATTAATACGTTTTCTCAAGGTTGTTGTACTTGATATGAACAAAAGAGAGCAAATTTTTTAAATTTGTGATGTGAAATAAACAGACAGAAAAATTGGACTTTATAAAGTAAAAATATTGTATTTGCATTTGATTAAATATAAGATACATAATTTATATAACTAGAAACGTTAGCTGATTAAATCACATTGATTAATCAAGGTAAATGGCACTACAGTAACACAACATGAGTTGTCTGTTCAAGTTCTGCCTAGGAATCCAATTGTCTTCGGTGTTTGTATGTTCTGTGCAACAGGTTGAGATGGACGTGTCTGGCCACAGTCTGTTCCTCCTGCAGCAGCTGAACGTCCAAAGGGAGTTTGGCTTTCTGTGTGACTGCACTGTTGCCATTGGCAACGTATACTTCAAGGCTCATCGTGCAGTCCTCGCCGCCTTCTCAAACTACTTCAAAATGATCTTTATCCACCAGTCCAGGTGAACTCAAATTTATTTTGAAGTGTTCTAATGTGTAAGTTCTGGATTGAATGGTCATTGATCATACAATGGTGATTGAAAATGGAAAACATCCTACAGTTTACACAAATGTTGAGGTCACTGCTGATTCCCTGTTGAAATTATCAATGAAATAATCATTTAAGCATATTTCTTAAGTTACTTATAAATGACAGTATAAAACATGTAATTTTATTTTTTTTATATTATTTTAATATTTGAAAAAAAAACACTGATTAAAATCAGAGAACACTTTCAGATACTTCCTAGTCATTGGTATTAATATGTCACCAGGTGGTAAAGTTACTTAATTATTAGACACACCACATTTAACTGGGAAACTAACTTTTCCTTCTAACTAACCTAATAAGTCCCCCTAAAATGCTGGTTGTCCATAAAAGACAAATGCAAGAGAGTACCAACAGGCCCGTAGCCAGGCTGGTAAAAAGTGTGGTTCTTTTATTTAAAAAAAAAAAAAAACTGGACCTTTTTGCAGGTATTCACTTCATTTACTACTTATTTATATACTATCAGTAAGGACTTATTTATGTACTATATTTCCTACTTATTTATGTATATAAGTACTGCCATTTTTAGCTAGATTAGCTTGTCGGATGGTCATCATAACCACACTTTTTGATGTAGTAAAAATATTTATGTACTAAAGATTTAGAATAAAGAAATATGTAGAAAATACTTATTTTTAAAATACAAATTTATTACATATATTATTGGCGGGGGAAAATTAATCTATTAAAGTTTTAAATTAAAAACTGTAGCTGATTGTGTCATTCATAAGGCAAATAACAAACTGAGCAGCACATTCAATTTTCAACAGTAAGAATTTGGCCATTTGAATACTGAACAATTAAAACATAATAATAATATTGTAGAGCTTGCCGATTTTTCTAGCGTCTCTTGTAAAAAAGTACTTTTGAAAATTCCTGGATAACAACAATAGCCTAATTAGTATTCAAATTAACTGTATTACGGTCCGCCTTTGGTGCTTCACACTTATTTATAGGTGATTTCTTTCTTTCAAGAATAAAGTTCAATAATTTAGAATAAAAGTTCCTTGTAAAATGTTTTCTTTAATTAGCAATATAGTAGGTCAGTAGTGAAAGATGACGTCACTTATGTCAGATTCCGCTTGCTCTTAAAGCCTTTTATGGGTTATTTTCAAAATTTGTAACATTTTCAAAAAATGTATGGGACAAATTCTACACCTTTGTCAGTGGAAGGTGGATCTTTGGAACCACCCAAACCCTCCCTGGCTACAGGCCTGACCAAACAATGTGATCGCCACTGTATGCAAAATGACTGATAGAAAAAGCATTCTTTGCATGTTAATAGAACCCATCTGACCAAATGATAATTATTAACCATCATTTAAAGGAAAATAAATTGTTAACTCTATTTTAAATGACTTTTCTCTTATTCTTAGTGAGTGCATCAAGATCCAGCCCACAGATATTCAACCTGATGTCTTCAGCTATCTGCTACACATCATGTACACAGGTATGGGTCCTAAACAACCTGTAGACCAGGGCAGACTTCAGGAAGGCATCAAGTTCCTCCATGCGTACCAGCTCTGCCGTAAAGCAGGCGAGAGTGGTCCTGATGCATCCTCTGATGCCATCCGTATGTCCAATCTGTATGGCATCCAGATCTCTTCCCAGCTGGCCAACAAAGAAAACTCGGGCCTGAAGGCTGGTGGCTCACGGGACCCTGAGGACGGGCGTTCCAGCACACGGGCCGATCGCACACATGGCCGTTTAGCACTCGCTGTAGGGCTGGAGGGCATTGCATCTGAGCAACACCCTCAAAGCTTTCATGCCGCGTCTTCGGTGGCCTCGGGGGACGACTCTGACATTTCTGCACGGATCAAACAGGAACGGGTAGAAGAGGAAGAACAACAGGAAGGAGACAAAGAGTCTTCAGCTCTTTCCCCAGCCCAGGTGAGCCCCTGTCAAGCGGGTCTATTCAGAGATGGCCCTCTGGCACTTTTGTGCCCTCGATGTGGGGAACGCTGTTTGTCACCTGAAGGCTTACAAGAGCACCTTTTTACCCACGCAGCCTGCGCCCTCGAGTCTAGCACACTGATGGAAGGCCCGTCAGAGGACAAAAGCGGGGAACACGCATCCTTGGAGGAAAGGCGGCCTCTTAAGGAGCCTATAGACTCTGGTAGTCTGGAGGAGGCTCTACGGCAGAGTCAAGCCCTGGCTGATGAGCTGGCTGTTGAACTCAGGCGAGGTGGTGGGACTGGGAGGAGCGCTAGCCCATTGGCAGCCTTCACGCGAAAGAGAAAGATGGCCTGTGCTGTCTGCAACCTCCGTTTCTCTCAGAAAAGCCAGCTGCAGGAGCACATGTTTGCCCATGTGGGAAAGCCTCTGCGATATCATCGCTACAGCCGTTTCTGCGGGCAGCTGCTTCACGGCTGCGAGGGCCAGCCAGATATTACCACAGCCACGGGAGACGAGGCAGCCAAGGACACTCAGGATAACGGCAGCTCCTGCTACTCTCTGGACTCTGAGATCTCTCAGGAGAGCGTAGATGCAGTGACTGTGGAATGACAGTGTTTGACGTATGCAAACACACAAGGCCTGCTAAAGGAATATTCTGGGTTCAGTACAAAATAAGCTCAGCTGACTGCATTTAGTGGCATAATGTTTTTTTTCCCACAAAAATATACTTTTTTTTAAGTTAAGGGATTGTAAACAATTTAGTTTGGCTGAATTTAAACAAACAAATGAAGTTGAATATTATTAAATTGAATTTGTTTGTTTAAATTCAACACAAATAAATTGTTTGCAACAGTTTTGCATTTTTTTTCAGTGTACCTCCTTTTAAAAAATATATTAAAAACAAAATACTCGAATACTGCGAATGGGACAATTCAATTCCACCGAGTAGACTTGTCCATCTCAATATTTACCTTGCTATTGTACTTGCCCTTTGCAGAGACCCTAATGATGATGAAAACTTTGGGCTTCAGACCGCTCTCAGCTTGAATATGCACCTTAAGTGGATTTGCACTAATTAGTTTCCCCACCAGATGATAACACTAGGATATAAAGTAATGAAGGAGACGCTTTAAAAGCAGGCGTCGATGTTGACTGCTTGTGTAAGAGCGTTAAGGATTCTAGTTCGGTAACAAGTAAGATATTTATTTATCAGTCAATCCTACCCCTTCTGAAGAGAAACAACTCAGGCACTGGACAAATATGACATTTAGGATTGGACATCTGTCCGCCAACAGTGTCCTCATACTGTCCAATGAAATATTTATTTGAAAAACTTCTTTGCAAAAAGGAAATGAATATATTCTTTGGGCGTAACACAGTGAATCATAAAATATACAGTTGAAGTCAGAATTATTAGCCCCCCTGTTTATTTCTATTTAACTGAGAAAAGATGTTTCCAACACATTTCTAAGCATAACAGTTTTAATAACTCATTTCCAATAACTGATTTATTTTATCTTTGCCATGATGACAACAAATAATATTCGACTAAATATTTTTCATGACACAGCTTAAAGTGACATTTAAAAGCTTGACTAGGTTAATTAGGTCAACTAGGCAGGTTAGGGTAATAAGGCAAGTTATTGTATAATGATGGTTTGTTCTGTAGACTATTGGAAAAACAATTGCTTAAAGGGGCTAATTATATTGGCCTTAAAATGTTTTTTTTTATTTATTAAAAACTGCTTTTATTCTATCTTAAATAAAACAGAGGAAACTTTCTCCAGAAGAAAAAATATTATCAGACATACTGTGAAAATTTCCTTACTCTGTTAAACATCATTTGGGAAATATTTTAAAAAAAAAAAGAAAAAAATGAGAAGGGAAGCTAATAGTTTTGACTTTGACGGTATATAAAATTTTAACAGTTCAAACAATACACAAATCCTAACAAGAAGTGACATATTTTTGTTTTGTAATTTGTTTATAATTTATCAAAAAAGGCCACATTCACTGTCATTACAAATCAAAATAGTTTTTTGTTAATCAACATTATGCCATAAAACCCGGAATATTCCTTTCAATGACTTTGTTTTCTGCCTCAGCACTTCTGTCCTGTCTTTAAGTCTCTGTCAGTGTTAAAACATACAAGAGTTTTGTTTAAAACTTAGTGTTGATGATTGTAGTGTTGATGTGTAATGATGTTGCTGACTTATGGATGACTGAACACTGTTTTATCAATTACACATTTAAAAAGAAAAAAATTAAAAGACAAGCACACGTACATCAAACTGAAACAGCACTATAAAGTGCCACATTTGGCAAATTACCAGTGAAAAGTATTCGTTTCCAGAGGCCAGCTTAAGCTAATACTATGTGATTATTTCTTGTATATTTTGAGTTTTGGCCTAATGAGTGAAACTGACTGAGCGTAGAGTCTAAATGATTTCTTCCCCAAATCAAATTTCCTATGAAACTGGTTCAGTGCCTTAGAATATTTTTGCCAAACATCTCTGTAAAGCACTTAAACTATCGCTCAGCCAGTTTAACTAAATCCAGTTATTTTAATTTTTTCCAGATAACAGTGAATAGTGCCTATTTTTGCAAAGTTATCCAAGACATCTACACAATCAGAGTAATCTATCAAATGAATGTGCAAATGGTGCTTTTCTTAAAGCTTTTTGATATGTTGAAAGACTCTCGTGATTATATTGTGTATGGAACAGAGTATAATCCAAGTTTGCTAACAATCTTGCTACAAAACCTGAGACAGTGCATAACTACAAAGATAGGACAATAGCACTGTAAATGTCTAACAACGCATCTAGACAAAAAAAATGCAATGGCACAGCTTCAGTCATATTTCAATAACAGACGGGTCATTTTCAAAAGCTAATGAAAACATGACAAAAATGTTTTATTTAGAATGATTTATCAACTTTGAGACATCACTGATATAAGACATGGTTCTTTCGTGCTGTATTTGAGCTGTTGAAGCACCACCATTTGCAGTAATATTCACTGAATACTCAAAGCTGGTGTACTGTGATGAGTATTTAAAATCAGCAAAACTTGCATTTGTGTTATTTGTGTGACTTGTGTAGTGCATTTAAACAGTCTCTTTTCGATTTGATTCATCATCAGCACTCGGTGCCATAGTGTGATAATGTGTTTGGTTATTTTTTTAAATAAATGGCACACTGAATAAACTGTGATTTATAATGTATAGGCTTGCGTTTTATGTTTGTCAGTGATTTCACTGCATCTGATAATTATGAGATAGTTCAGCTTAAAATTCTATTATCATTACTCACCATCAAGCTCTATCCCACCAAAGGTGATCAACAGTATATATGTTTTATGTCTGTCTATATCAGAGATGCCCAAAGTAGGGCCTGCGGGCCAAAACTGGCGCATGGAAACCTTTGATTTGGCCCACCATTCATCTGAAAAGAGATTGAGAATGAGAGTGAGAATAAGGAGGTGGTAAGGGTGAATGCCTTTGACAGATATTATCATTTCTAGTTTAACATAACTTTTAGTTTGTATTATTTGTGAGCTACAAAAGCCACCTGAAACTAAACGATAATATTAGATGTTGTAAATGAATCAGACTTTTAAAATGTAGATACTGTAACTCGACATCTGCGAGCAAATCAAGCTGAAGGCAGGTGCAGCATTTAGCATTGTGTTATAAATTGGATTGTTTATGTTTTTACTAAAATAAGTTAAATATTATATGTTTACTGGGTTGGTTAAGATGATTTAAAGCAACATTCTATTTTTTTTAACCAAATAAACCAAATAAATTAGGAAATTTCCCTTCGTCAAATTTATTGTCATACAGTTAGGTATATATTCCTCCCACAGCCCTCAATCAAGTTTGGTTTTTGGCCCTTTATAGGAAAAAGTTTGGGCACCCCTGGTTAAAATAAATATGTATAAAATGTATAACCACACTTTTTTATAATTTTTTATGAGCATTTCACAGAACACAAAAAGTCAGGGTTTTAAAACTATGCAAGGCTGAGTTGATGATAACATAATATTAATTTTTGTGTATTCCTGTACCTGTCCATCTTGTAGTAACGTCTTAGTGCCACAAGAGAGTAGTATACAATCACAAAATACAATCATTTCTCCTCTGCCAACTCGGTGTAATCATTATCCTTACACATTACTCCCAAAGCCATGTACAAACCAAGTCATGTACAGTACATGTTTAGTCATTAAACACAACATTTAACAACTACTGCGGGCTTCAGTCAATGCCTTGTTTAAATGCTAAATGAACAATCTATGCACACATTTGGGACCTCACATCACATATTTTTATAAAAACATTGCCTAGAAGTTGACCAGAGCCAGTTTTACACAACATAAACAAATGGCTCAGTGTCATGTTGGTGTCGTGTGGGATATTCATTGCTACAGAAACTAGAAAGCAGTGACATTTGAAACAATGTTGCAGTATAATATATATATATATATATATATATATATATATATATATATATATATATATATATATATATATATATATATATAAAAACATAAACAGAAAGTTAAATTTAATAATATTGCACAATTGTGAAAAAAGAACAACAGGTTACAGATTAAAGTTACAGTATAAAAATGACATCAATGTGGAAGGATATTTATACCGCTGGTCAAAATTATTAGTCTCCCTTTTCATTTTTTTCTTTTTTAATTATTTCACAAATGATGTTTAACAGCAAGAACATTTTCACAGTATGTCTGATAATATTTTTTTTTCTTCTGAAGAAAGTCTTATTTGTCTTATTTTGGCTAGAATAAAAGCAGTTTTTAATATAAAAAAAAAAAAATTTAAGGTAAATATTATTAGCCCCTTTAAGCTATATTTTTTCGATAGTCTACAGAACAAACCATTGTTATACAATAGCTTGCCTAATTACCCTAACCCGCCTAGTTAACCTAATTATCCCAGTTAAGCAATTAAAAGTCACTTTAAGCTGTATAGAAGTGTTTTGAAAAATATCTAGTAAAACATATTTACTGTCATCATGGCAAAGATAAAATAAATCAGTTTATTAGAAATGAGTTATTAAAAATATTATGTTTAGAAATGTGTTGAAAAAATCTCTTAAACAGAAATTGGGGGAAAAATAAACGGGGCTGTTAATTTTATATATATATATATATATATATATATATATATATATATATATATATATATATATATATATATATATATATATATAATTTTATTTACAAATATTTAAAGTAAAATGTTTATACACGTAAAAATGTATCATCTTAAGTCTAAGATATACACCATTTTTTGTGTATGCAAAAATCCACATACAGTGTACATGAGGCCAATTTTGTCTTCAGAATAGCATCTGCAGTGTTTGTGTGTGTGTGTGTGTAAGCGGTGCTTCCCAAACCAGGATGATGCGTACTGGCGTCATTTGCGTCTATGACGTTTCCAGGAGATGAACAGCTGAGTTCAATTTGTAATGAGTCCAAGCCTTTAAAAGCGATTTGTAGTTTCTGGGTCAGGAGGGGTTTTTCTTGGTTTTTGATTGCAGGTGCTGCTGAGCCGCTGGCCAAGGCTATCGTGCCGGGACGTGGGCATGATGTTGTGCGCGAGCGAATGACTGGGAGGGATAGTTGGTAGTGCTGGGGTTTCCCCGGACTAAAGTTTCGGCGGCCGCTGTTGACTTTCCAATCGCTGTATCCCACGTCCGGTAGCGGGTAAGCGGGCCAGCAGCACAGTTATAC